TATATTTATTGGTTACCGTTACGGTTACAAATTTGGAATATAAATTTGTCAAATTATATAGAAATTGGTATGGCACCCATAATTTTTACTTTTTTTTTTTAAGTTTTACGGAATGAAAGCAAACAATGTTGGAAATAGCATCAAATTTTATAATAAGTTTAGATTTGTTCGAATTGGTCACCTTTGGCACAAATTATTTTGACCTTCAAACGGCCAATGAAACCGTCATACGCTGCCCGAATGTCGATCTGCGGTATTTTGGCCCATTCCCGGCGAAGCGCTTGCTTGGGGTGATCGCCACTTTGGTATTTTTTAGTGCCAGCCTTGCTTTCCAAAATACTTCAGACACATTAGTCCAACGGATTGGTATCCGGAAATTTTGGTGGCCATGGAAATGTAGCGAGGATCCTCATTTTGTAACCATTTGTTAATTTTGTTTGTTTACAAACTGCCGGACAATGAATGTTTTCTCATTGGAGAAAACCAAATTTGGCAGTTCACCACATTCGACCAAGCGAAACAACTCTTTAGCTCTTTTGAATCTATTTACTTTCTGTGTAAGTTCCCGAGATCATTTTTCAATATTTGCCGAAACGAATATTGCGATATGTTTAGCTCACGAGCCATTTTTCGGCCACAGCGACCCGGGTTTCGAACAAATTGCTTCTTTACTTTTCGAATCATTTCTGCTGATGTTGTTGTTTTCTTTTGTCCACTTCCTTGACGTCGGGCTACGCTACCAGTATCACGGTAACGAGCGATGGTACGAGATACAAAATACAAAAATGTCTGTCATAGGCTTTAGTACTCCTGACTAACTTCAAATACAAAATTTGCAATAATTCCGGTAAATAATTTCGCTGAAATCATGAAAATACCGAATTTCGGGATCTACCGTTATATGGGGGTTATACGAAGACGTGGACCTGCATACAAAAATTTTCATCATAGGCTGTAGTACCCATTACGAAATTTGAAGATGAAATTTGAAATAATTCCGGTAAATACTGTCGCTAAAATTATGAAAATACCGAATATCGGAAGGTACCGTTGTTTGGGGGCTATACGAAAACGCGGGCCGATATGGCCCATTTACGAACTTAACCTACCTACTGGTAAACTATGCATGCATGCAAAATTTTAACCTTCTATCTCAACTCGTGATTACAAAAGACAGACATCGCTAGATCGTCTTAGAATTTTAAGCTGATCCAGAATATATATACTTTGGAGGGTCTGTTATAAATATTTCGAGGAGTTTCAAACAGAACGACAAAGTTAATATACCCTCAAAAGAATGGTGAAGGGTATAAAACTTATCTTTTAAGCAGACAATAGGTTAGTCGCATTTTTTTAAGTTTTTGGTAAATGGGTAGTTATCCAGTTAACTACTGCTTTAGATAATTGTGACTGAATATCGTCTATATTGGCCCAAGTTTCTATTTATTATTAATAACTACTGTAAAAATATCTAATATATTTAACAGTAGCGGGCAACTATTTATCTAGTTACAGTGTTGGAATTCGAAATTTACATTTTACGGCTTTTGTCACGTATGTGTAACTTAATGCTAAGTATTAACGGATGTAGGGCGTGCTCAGCTTAATATCTGAGATACTTCAGAAACTATATAAGTAAGTATCAATTCAAATTTCTTAATTATATACTAGTTTGTTTTAAAAGTCATTAAAAGTGTTTTGGGATAATATGTTAAAAATTCAGTTAATCATTTTAGTATTAACAATATCGGTTGCTTCTATTTATGCACACGACAAAGGCAAGTCATGCTTAGGATGTCCATCTCCTTTGACTGGAGAAAACTTGACAGTTGCCGAAACATTATTGAAAAGAGCACTTGGCCAATTGCTAACAGGAAAGGGTCAAAAATATTGGTAAGGTTTTTTAAATGCTAGACTTTAATTTAATTATCTATTTCCCCAAAAGTCTTTTGCAGATTAACTCGGGTACCCAACAAATCGTGAATGGGGTAAATTATCAATTCAATGCGGATTTGCTAGACATTTTAAGTAGAAAGAAGACATGTGACATTACTTTGTACAAGGGTATGCGTAAAAATCAAATTACCATAAAGTGTCCTAAAAAACGTGCCATTACGAAAAGTGTTTTTCTTTAAATATAATTTGAAAAATAAATAAATTTATAAATTATTACAATTTGGTATACAATTGATTACGCATTAAAGAAAATCAACAAATTGCGTAACTTTATTAACAATTTATTTTTGTGAGGAGCTTTTTTATGTCTAAATTGTATTACAAATAGATACTTTTTTAAAAAACTATTTGAATAGAACTCCTTTGCCAGCAGAATTATACTTTTACATTTCATTAATTTATGAACAATAATTTATGAATCATCTATGTGTACGATTCAGAGAAATTTTGAATTGTCTCTTGGCGAAAAAGGACAAAACTCAAAAAATCGCGTACAAATGAAAGATTTGATAATTTTTATTTTGATACAATTGTTGTACATTCCAAAAATCAAAATAGAAATTATCAAATCTTTCATTTGCATTTAATTTTGCATGATTTTTTCATTTTGACTTACCATTTTCGAATGTACATTTGTAGTGTTTTTTCTTTTTGGACTCTAATATAATGTGTAGTCTGTTATTTATAGATTTTATGTATTTATTGGGTAAGTGGAACTATACGAATTATATAATTTCAGGAGAAAATAAGATATGAAAAAAAGTAATATTTTATCCTAGGCTATCGGGTTTCTTTTTCGAAAAATTATAAATATACTTCCATATTTTGGTATATACCTCATATGAAGGTATCCCATGATTTCAGCTATTTCCAGGGTGTTGGTCACATTTTTCAATTGACTTGGCCATTATTTGGCATCTTGGCTTCTGAAGGAGTAGAAAACCTCTTGGCAGGAAACTTTTCGATAATTTTCGATGTAGCACCCATATAAATGTTCTGATTTTAGCTCGAGGGTCTCGACCACATTTTCCAATCGAATTGGCGAAAACTTGTATTTAGGCTACTTTGGGAGTAGGGAAGAAGAATTTCAAAATATGTACATATATTGGTATTGTCCCCATACAACAATACCTCCCAGGTCAACCGACATACAAAATCATAGATGTTATGTGGACTCTAACCCACAAATTGAGGTGTTATGGTAATGGATTTAAAAGAGTAATTAACTTTGACTATTCTCGAGTCATTCTGCCCATAATTATGAGGTGGACGATTTTCTAAACAATTGAAATTCGAAATGACTCTCTCATTAACTTAACAGGTTTTTTAAAATATTTTAAATCGATCAGTATGTGAACACGTATTGAAATTCTTGCCAGGGATATTCAGTTCTATTTAGTCAAGTCATTTTTTTATAATAAAAACAAGTAAGCAAAGGCTATAGTCGTGCGGCAACGACCATGTAAAACCTTGGTTCATTTCAACACATAAATATATTGCGGACATATTTGAAAACAATAGGTCTAGCCTTTCTGGGCCTAACCCTACACTTGTGAAAATTTTCGTGAGGATCGGACGATAATTGCAACCTGTATATAATAACCCCAAACTTTGTTGTAAGGTGAAAAAATATTACAAAATATACACTTCAATATTTTAAGTCAAATTGAAAAAGTCGCATGCGATAAAAAATATGAAAAAATAAAATGTCACAAAATACTGCATAATCTATATTAACTTCATTATTGGCATCTTGTTATGCGTTTTTTTTAGATTTTATTCTTTTATTCCAAGAGGGCATTCTGAATTTACAAAATTTGTTAAAATCGATCCAGCCATTCTTGACCAATATCCCCTTCCTTTGATATACATTGTATATATTTCGCTATATATAACCGATATATTTACTATCGGCATCTACGTAACGGTCAGAATTTACCTGTTCGTCTATTTGTGATTTCGTGGGGATTAAAAATATTTGCGGGTCAATGGAAAATTTGACTTTTATTTAACACAAATGTTGTGGTCTATTTCACCCACTAAATATTACCCGATGACCATCAAAATTGGAAGGCTTCTGTCCAGCCCTAAGCTTTAGCCCCATGCTAACTTCCGCTTCGATTGGTCTACAATTGCGACCTATATTTGGTCCATTTCAAACCCTAAATATTATGCGATCATCTCCAAAAGCAATAGGCTTCGAGCCCCATCTTTAAAATTCGTAGATCGGGTCATAATTGCGACCTGTATAGTGATTACAAATTAACATGGACAGACGGTCGACTCAGCTCGGCAATATAGGAAGATCCATATATACTTTCATATGTGGGAAACCAATATTTCGAGGTGTTGCATAATTTTTGGCCCAATCAAACTTATAATACCCCCAGGGCATAATTATACCACTCACATGAGCCAGATCTGTGAATTCTTATTTTGAAAATAATAAGCATAAACGATAACACAGGGACGGCAATGCGGACATAGAGAATGAAGCGAGGTAGGCCCATAGTTCCTTTTGATGATCTGCGTAAAATCACATTCTGAGTCGATTTATGCAAGTCCGTCTGTGGAAATCGCTGTAGCTTCCAAACGGAATAAAACATGTTGATAAAATTTTAATCAAATATATTTTAGCACCGTTGAAAATCGAAATGGGTCTTAAAGGTCAATGTATTGGTTTGGCCCTCGCTGCTGAACTTAACTCATTATTTACTTGTTACATTTAAAATTATCAGTATTCGATATTAAGTAATTTTTATCATATTTATTTTACATGTTTGCTTAATGTTTTGAATTTCAGAATTAGCTTAATGTTATGCTAAACATAACAAAAATCAAACATATAAGTGTGTGTTGTGTTATCCGAATACACTGTTCTAGAGTTATAACATATGCATGTATGTATGTTGCATATGCAAGAAATTGTGAGAAGACTACCAACAACTGATAATAACACAAATACAAACATATTTATGTGTAATTAATCTCTGTTCTCTGGTCCATGTTTACACATTATAATCTAAAGTATAAACAGAAACCTCAGCGAGATCGAAACTCAGTCTCATTTTGAGTTTTGTGGAGCTAGCATCGTTACGTTTTCGTTTGTATCAAAAGATTTCTGAAAAAAAAAAATGAATAAGATATTATTAATTACTCTTGTTGCTGTTGCATTTGTGGCCATCGAGGCTGAAACTGGCGGAGTAAGATAAATTTGTAAAATTATTAGAGAATATAAAATCTTATACAATTTTTTATAATAGAAATTACAACCACGCGGCGCCCCACGCCAATTGGAAGGCGAAGGCCTTAAGGAAGCCGAGGAAACCCTAGAATTATCATTGAAGAAATTGGCAGCGGGTGAAGATGCCATAAATTATAAGTGAGTATTGTTTACTGGCGATAACTGATTTCGTTAATTCATATGCGATATGAGAAATTTACAGGCTCTCCAAGATCCATTCGGCCTCCAAACAAACGGTTTCAGGAACTTTGTACAAAATTAATGCTGACATCATTGATGGCGAAGAAACCAAGAATTGCGATGTCAGTATTTGGTCCCGAGCATGGCTAGAAAATGGCATTGAAGTTGACTTTAATTGTAAGGACGGAAAAAAATTCAAACGTAATCATAGTGCTTAATTTTATAAAAGGAATAAATATCCAAAAAAAAGACTGTGTTATGTTTAAAACTTTTTCAATAGCAACCATTTGTAGGTGAATTAAAAATTGTTGATTTTGAATATGAAAGGGGCTTAAATAATGTGTTAGGACTATATAGTTTGTACATAGACTCTTCTTCCGGCAATTTGTTTCTGTTTATTCAGAGCGCTCTCATTAGTATACACTTAACTGAAAACCCTGTAATGTGTCAATAGTCGGACTAGGCCGAATATATGATACCTTACGTCGCTATGCATATTTGGCAGAGCTAGTCGTAACAAATGAATGCTTATATTGGGAATTTATGTAAAGTAGATCATACCTCTACGTAGATCATACCTACTATGAACATACCTAATATGAACCTCCTCCACAAAGGTTCAACGCGAAATTAGCATCCGATCATATTTCTAATAAAATGTGACTGTTGTCTTAAAATTTCACACAAATATTTCTAACAACACAAGATCAGGTATGGACAAGTAAAATAACAGCTAAGTTCGGCCGACCCAACTTCTAATACCATGCACCAATTTGAAGGATATTGAATAAAATCCGTCGAAAAATACCACTTAAATGAAAACCGTTACATGGGGGATATACAAAGACGTGGACCTGCATAAGTAATGTTTTGTCACAGGCTGTAGTATGGATTCTGAAGTTCAACTACGAAATTAGAAACAATTCCATTGAATAATGTCGCTAATATCATCAAAATACCAAATAACGGGAGGTGACGTTACTTGTGGACTATACAGAGTGAGATGAAAAAACTGCAACCAACTTCAAACTGCTGTCATTTCCAAGAAACAAAAATGTATTCGTGATGGAATTCAAGCATGATAGTGTGATTTCTTTATATTTGGCTGGCAAACCACAAGTGGCTATCGTTAGAGCATTCCTGTATTTAAATGTGAATCGTGATACTAGTAGCGTAGCCCGACGTCAAAGAAGTGGACGGAAGAAAATAGCAACATCAACAGAAATGGATCGAAAAGTAAAGAAGCGACTTGATCGAACACCGCATCACAGTGGCCGAAAAATTGCTATTGAGCTGAACATATCGCAATATTCCATTCGGCAAATATTGAAAAATGAGCTCGGGATAAAGCCATTGAAATTCCAAAAAGTGCAAGAAATTACACTGCGACAGAAAGAAAATAGACTCAAACGAGCTATGGAGTTTCTTCGCTTGGCCGAAAGTGGTGAACTTCCGAATTTGGTTTTGTCCGATGAGAAAAAAAAAATTATTCTTAAATTTGATGCTATTTCCAACATTTTTGGCTTCCATTCAATAAAAATTAAAAAAAAGCAAGTAAAAAGCAGTAAGTTCGGCCGGGCCGAACTTTGAATACCCTCCACCATTTGGAACGAATTAGAAAATTTTCAAAAAAAAAAAAAAAAAAAATAAATAAATAAATAAAATCCATTAAAAATTCTTTTAAAATCTTTAAAATATCTAATATAGGAAGGTGCTGATATGGGGGGATATACGATATTGTGGACCTATAAAGACAAATCTATGTTTGCGTATAAAGTACTCACAAGGAACTCCTTGTGTGGATTTTCAAAATACCGAATATCGCGGGGTATCGTTATATGGGAGCTATACGTTATCGTTAACTTATATAGAGAATTCTCTGTCGGGGGTAAAGTGCTCACAAAGAACCCCTTGTGTACAAAGAAACCCTTGTGACCGTCCCGTTGAAAAATATGGCTAAAAACATCAAAATACCGAATATCGGGGGTATCGTTATATGAGGGCTATACGATATCGTGGACCTATATAGATAATTCTCTGTCGAGGTATAAAGTACCTACAAGGAACTCCTTGTGTGAATTTTCAGACAATTCCGATGAAAAATGTGGCTAAAATCATGAAAATACCGAATATCGGGGGGTACCGTTATATGGGGGATATACGATATCGTGGACCTGTATAGACAATTCTCTCTCAGGGGGTAAAGTACTCACAAGGAACTACTTGTGGGGATTTTAAGACAATTCCATTGAAAAGTGTGGCTAACATCATCAAAATACCGAATATCGGGGGGTACAGTTATATGGGGGATATACGATATCGATATAGCCCATCTTCGAACTTGACCTGCCTGCAGACAAAAGAGAGATCTGGACAAAATTTTAGCTTTCTATCTTAGTTCGTTTAGCCTGTAGCGTGATTACAACAGACGGACAGACGGACGGACAGGGCTAAATCGTCTTAGTTGTTGGGGGTCTAAAATGATTATTTCGATGAGTTACAAACGGAATGACGAATTTAATATACCCTCCACACTATGTATGGTGGAAGGTATAAAATAAAAATTATGGCACGGTGGAGGACAAAATAACAAATCGGATGAACAATATATGCAGATCATCCAAAGGAACTAAGGGTCAAAATCGGTTCCTTTTCTATGTTACAAAAAATGCACAAAAATATAATACCATAACCTCATTGAGGTGTAGGGTATAAAAATTGAACCGTGGACTACTAAAACAATTGTCCATCATTAAACGAAAGGATTATACTTTACAATAATAAACGAATTTTAAGGGAAAATGTATTAGTAGTTAAAAAAGGAAATAAAAAGTTTATTTGGCGGACTATTTACATAAAGAATACAAGTACTTAAAAAAATGGTTCATCATTTACAAAATTTCAATAAACATGGTATTCTAATTAGGGGAATGTCCACATATATACAGCCTTATCTCGTAGCAGAACATCAATAGAAATTCGCATAACGGTCTTAAAGGTTTTAGCATCAGTCATTCATTCTATCTTCAGTTAGTGACTTATTAATAGTCACGTCAAAAATTTGAAGAGGTTCCAAACAAACACAAATCTATTAGTTTTTAGTGATGATCGGAATACCATTCATCGATGTCTATAGAATTCTAAGTTTCAATTCAGTTATTGTTTATACTTTCAGCTTTTTATGCTGTCTTAATGTGTCCTCGTCCTTTTCATTTCAGTTAACATCCGAAGAGGCAAATGAAACCCTGGATTATGTCCTCAGTAAATATGAAATGGTGGAAATGAAAATTGTCGGAGAACCCATATCGTGCGTATCATTTCACATATCCTCACACAGCTCACAAAAAAACCTTCCGTTTGTCAACATCAGGAATTCTGTTGTTCAAACAAAGTTATAATTGTGGCATTCAGATGAGCACATGTATCCCAACTAACTACCTACCTACTCACACACGTTAGGAGCTTATTTACAATAAATATTTATTTTGTCCTCCGTTTTTTTCTCCCTTTCTTCATTCTGCACAGCGTTTACGGCTTGCGCCTGACACACGGCGATGATGAGGAAGAAATCAACATTCATTTCAAATACCTCGACAATACCATGTATGACATCATTCAGCATTGTGTATTTGCCGTTTATCATCGCCCCAATGAATGCGAACTGATCAGGACCATTTGCAACACCTTCCTACCGATTACGCCACGTCCTCTGTTGGAGCGCACAGATTTACGTGTGTGTGACGATGGCAATGATGTACAACTTGTTGAAGCGGAAGACATTGAAGATGATGATGGAGAGAATACGACAACAATGACGGCAGCAGCAGCTGACGGTGATGGACAGGAATCTCGTCAGAAGCAACAGTCAGCTCAAGGAGCCAATGATGGGAATGACGATGACGATGATGAGGAAGAGGAAAATTAACAATGTTGTGAATAGAAATACATAGATATGAATACTTTAATGTGTTTTCTTGGAAGACAAACAATGAAAGGGGGAAAATTATGCTCAAGAGTTTATAAATTTATTAAAAGTTTTTATGCGGATTCCAATTAGCTGAACTTCAATTGTGAATAACTCAAGGGAATAATTGTTAATTGTTTTCAGAAATTATTTACCATGTTTGAATGTGAAATACGAAAATAGAATAAAACATTTTGCAATTCTGGCTCCACCTACACACGCAATATCCCAATCCACCTTCTTATCTAGACCTATAAAAAATATTGTTTTTAACAAAGGTCGTCATATCAAATGGCTGATTCAGCCAAGTGATCTTTCTCTTCGTCGGGATAGAACAGCGCGTAGTTTGAAGTAAAGCCAATGGGGAAATAATCCAGACTTAAGCAACTCCAGCTCTACCACATTTACTTTATACCAAATTTAGTTCGTTTAAGTACTTTTCATACAGAATATACTACGTATTTCCAAACCAATCTCCTAATCAAGAAGCTTCTCATCATAATACTAATATTCATAGTGCTGGCTCTCTTCCTAAGCTCTATGACAAATTTAGTACCATTCAGTACTTTTCGTGCAAATATTGGACGTATTTCCAAACAACTACCAAATCTCAAACACATATACCATCAGTAATATAAATATCAAATTTCAGAAATTCATATCTATCCCTTCACCAAATACCAACCAGTAAAGGAAGTTTTAAAGTGGAGCGGGGCCGACTTTATGATACCCTACACCACTTTGCTAATTTAGTAGAGCTCCGCATAACAATTAAAAGTTTTAATGGGAGAATTTAATCATATACGCTATGATTATAATTATAATTTAAAGTTCAATAGACTAATTATGCCGAAGCATTTGTTATCTTTTAAATTCGGACTTGTATTGCCCATTTGGTGCACAATTAATTTGAAATCGGATAAGAATATATATGGGAGCTATATCCAAATCGGAACCGATCTCGATAAAATTTGTCAAAGATATTTCTGAGCTGTATTTGATATATTTCCCTGAATATCGTTGTTACGAAGTGAATATTACGGCGGTGGATGACAAATATAACAAATCGGATGAACAGTATATATGGGAGCTATAGCTATATGTGAACCGATCTTCACCAAATTTGACATACTAGCTCCTAGACTCAGTTCGGTCGTAAGTGCCAAATTTCATCCCATTTGGGTAAATATTAGACGTTTGGGGCACAATCAAAGGTAAATCGGACGAAGTTATATATGGGAGCTATATCCAAATCTGAACCGATCTCGATAAAATTTAGCAAATATATTTCTAAGCTGTATTTGATATATTTCCCCAAATATTGTTGTTACAGAGTGCATATTACGGCTGTGGAGGACAAACATAACAAATCGGATGAGCTATACATATGGGAGCTATAGCTATATCTGAACCGATTTCGAGAAAATTTGACATACTTATTTTCAGGTCCAATCTGATCGTACGTGCAAAATTCCATACCATTCGGACTGATATTACACGTTTGGTACACAATAAAAGGTAAATCGGACGGAGATATATATGGGAGCTATATCTAAATTTTTACCAATTATCTCCATTTTCAATAGGGTTCGTCCTTGGGCCAAACAAATGATTTGTGCAAAATTTCATCTGGATAGGACAATAAATGCGAACTGTACTTTGTATACCAAAATACACGGACAGATGGACGGACGGACATGCATAAATCGACTCAGAATGTGATGCAGATCATCAAAAGGATCTAGGGGTCTATCTCGTTTCCTTTTGCCTGTTACAAACAAATGTACAAAGACATAATACCCTGATCACCTTGTGGTGTAGGGTATAACAAGTTAAATAGCAGCTAAGTTCGGCCGGGCCGATCTTTTTATACCGTCCACCATTTTGAAGAAACTTGAATAATTTCAAAAGAAATTCCGTTGAAAAATACCGCTCAAATGAAAACCGCTATATGGGGGCTATACAAAGACGTGGTCCTGCATAAGTAATTTCTATCATAAGTTGTAGTAACGGTTCCGAACTTTATGTACGAAATTTGAAACAATTCCGGTAAATAATGTCGCAAAAAATATGAAAATACCGAATATCTGGCGGTACCGTCATATGGGCGCTATACTCAAAGGTGGATCTATATAGACGATTCTCTTCTAATGGGTAAAGTACTCCTAAGGAACATAAGGCGGCTAAAATCATAAAAATACTCAATATCGGTTGGGACCGTTACATGGAGGCTATACGATATCATTGACCTATATAGATAATTCTCTTCCATGGTATAATGTACTCACCTTGTGTGGACTTCAGATAATTCCATTGACAAATGTGGCTAAAATCATCAAAATACCAAATATCGTGGGTGCCGTTATATGGGGGCTATACAATATCGTGGACCTCACACCTCCTTGTGTGAATTTTCAGACAATTCCACTGAAAATGTATTTAAAATCATAAAAATATCGAATATCGGAAGGTGCCGCTATATGGGGGGATATACGATATCGTCGACCTGTATAGACAGTTCTCTTTCAAGTGCTAAAGTGCTCACAGAGAAATCCTTGTGTAGAATTTCAGACAATTTCATTGAAAAATGTGGCTAAAGTCATCAAAATACCGAATATCGGGGGGTGCCGTTATATGGGGGCTATACGATATCGTGAACCGATTAAGCCCAACGAACTTCACCTGACAAAAGACAGATCTGTGCACAATTTTAGCTTTCTATCTTAATTCGTTTTGACTGTAGCGTGATTACAACAGACGGACGGGCGGACAGGGCTTTGTTGGGTTTAAAATTATTATTTCGATGAGTTTCAAACGGAATGACGAAGTTAATATAGCTTGCATACTATGTATGGTGGAGGGTATAGAAATTCCATCTTCCTCTGTCCAACCTAAGCCAAACAGTTCCGAATTTAGAAAAATTTGGCATCTTTTGAATGTTCAGATCAAATAGTGGCCAGAAATTGACATTATTTTATTAGAAGAACACATACCTACTAGAGACCCGAAATGTAAACAGCTTCCTAAAGCATTTAGAAAAACGCAAATCAGGAGGTAACGATGCTTGGGGATCGACATAGCCTATTTTCAATACTAATCATTTTTTGACAATGAAATTTTTGAGCCGCATGAGCGAATTGGGCTAATATTACAGCATAGTGAGCAACTGTAAAATCGGACAAAGATGTATATCGAAGCTATATAAAATCTGAACCGATCTCGATAAAATTTGGCAGAGCAGTGGCAGAGGTATTTTCGGTAATAAAGATTATTGTTGTAGAGTGCATATTACGCATGTGAAGGACTTTAACACCGATGAAACATATATATGGAAGCTATATCTGAACCGATTCATTTGGTGCACAATTAACCCAAAATCGGTTGAAGATATAAATGGGTACTATACCCAAATTTGAACCGATTTTCACAAATTTCAATAGTGTTCGTTCTTGGGCTAAACAAATATTGTTTCGAAAATCGGATAATAAATGTGACCCGCATTTTGTTCACAAAAATTCACGGACGACCGGGTGGACGGACAGACATATATAAATCGATTTTATGAAGATCCTCAAAGGTAAGTATGGGGCTATCTTGCTTCCATCTCCATGTTACAAACAAATGCACAAAGACACCACCACTATGTTGTGTAGGGTATAAAACATATGACAATTATCCTAACAATCAATTATAAAATAATCCTAGTATTGACAGTAGTTTCTGAGAAATTTCCCTAAATCGCTAGGCTCCGTTTTATGGAACAATGCTATGGCATTGAGTTGTCATTATTTCCACTTAACGTCTGGGAATTGTTCGTTATAAACAAAGTCTTAACACATTTTATGGCAATGTCATCATTGACACAAACCATTGCCTGATTTGTCACATTCCATTTCATTCCATTATTGGTTCTTCTAAAATAAACAAACACACATACACACACACACTTTCATTTCCCTTGGAAATGTTGTTTTTGTACTAATGCTACCCGCCACCCCATTAAAAAATCAGTTTCAACAAAAAACACAACACAAATGTTCCGGTCCCAGTTTCTTTGCAGCCACGACAAAAATAAAGTGAGAGACCATTTATGAGAACATAGAGAGGAACATTTCAATCTTAGCCATATAACGGCAAATTTACGAACAAGTTATTGCGCATACGCGTACTCCGCTAATGGGGAGTGCGTATGATAAATGTTTTGTTCCGGTTTTGGCGACATTTGTATGTTTAGCACTTGTCATCTAAACGTAAAAATATATTTGCAACAGTGGTATTGAGTCGATTTTTTATTTAATGGATAAGTGTGATGTGATGATTGAAAGTAGTAACACATGGCCTAATGCATTAAAAACAGACTTATATAAATGTGTAGTCAATAATAATTTTAGTTCGAGAAAACTGAGTAATAATGTAAATGGCTATGAAATTCAGTTTCCAGTGCCAGCAATTTCGTTTTTTATACCCTTAGCCATATGGCTACAGAGGGTATGTACAATTTGATACGGTCAAAACGTGCCTAGTCGAAATAACGTTTTTAGACCCTAGGTCTCTTTGGACCAAATCCGTTTCAGAACATTTGGAGTCGATCTAGCGATGTCCGTCCGTCCGTCTGTCTGTCAGGCTGGCTGGTGCTCACGATAACTCTCGAAGGGAGTATCCGATTTGATCCAAACTTGGTACATCGTAATATTTTTGTCAAACTTAGATCCAGTTCGGAGATGGGCAATATCGGTTCACTCTTTTTGGTACCTCCCCCACAAAAGGTCGAAATTTTGAACAATTACAACTCTCATCAAATGTGATGTAAGAGTCCGATTGTCTTCAAATTTCACACATCCCAATATTTATATTAACCCAAGGTCTGATGTTAAGATGGAATATATCGGTCCACTCCTTATGTACCTCCCCAACAAATGGTCGAAATTTTCAAAAAATATATTTTTTGCACAGAAAGTGAAAGGATAATCCGATTTTGGTCCAACTTTGCAAATC